CAGGGCAGCCGTCCACCCCAGGAGAACCGTCCACCCCAGGATAACCGTCCATGGAGATAAACAAGAGTGTTCACAAACAAAAATAATGGAAATAGAGGTGAAAAGTCCTACAGAAAGTCTGACTAAAGCAGGAGAGATCGTTCACAAAATAAAACAGACACAAAGAGAAAACAAGAGTGCATCCGGCTAATCCTGAGAAGTGCTCACGGGAAGTACTGGAGAGACTTAGTGTTCTGTTGGGGGGTCCTGGACCCCAGGGCCTCATGCTGGGCAGGAGGAGGCCCTCTACCCTTGGGCACACCCTCGGACCTGGACACACAGCCTTTGTTTTACAGCTGCTTTTCATGTGCATGTGAAATCTTAAGAAGCCTTAGGCTCAATCTTAAGAAGTCTTAGGCTCATACATCATTGTATCAGAATCTAAAGGCTTTTCTCAGTTGTTTTCTTAATTTCATGGCTGCTTGGAGGGTTTGGTGGCATCTCTTTTGGTAGTGCAAGCATTTGTCCTCAGGACCTGAAGGCCTGGCACTCCCCATCCCCGGCTCCGGATCTCAGGGTGATGGGCAGAGCTGCATCCCCAGCTCCGGCTCTGGATCTCGGGGTGATGGGCAGAGGCTGTGAAGCCACATCCCCAGCTCCAGATCTCGGGGTGACTGGCAGACGCCATGGAGCCCTGCGAGGCTTAGAAAGAGGTTTGAAGGCTGTCCTCACACCATGATCTTCTGCTCCAAGTCTCCTAAGTGGCTAGAATTACAGGTGGTTCGTGGGATTGAACCTATGGCCTGTGACAGAAGGCCTGGCACAAGCAACTAAAAGGAGAGAAAACTAATTCTGGCCTGTGGATTCAGAGGGGCCAGTCCACCATGGAGGGCATGGTGAAGCAGAGCATTTCTCATCATGGTGGACAGGAAGCAGAAGAAGGGGACAGGAAGGGTTTGGGGCAAGAGACAGCTCCTGCAGACATGCCCTCCGGACTCCGGCTCCCAGTGCTCAGCTTTCTTGCTGCAAAGTAGGCAGGCTCTGTTAGGCTATGGCACATCAGTGCCACTGTGGCTGCTGCTCCCTCTGGAAGGGAGGGGGAGGGAGGGGGAGAGGGAGGGAGGTCTGGGAGGGGGAGAGGAGCAGGGAGGGTGCCCTTTCCTTTCCTTTCGATTTCTCGCCAGTCCTGGGCTTAACTCAGGGCCTGGGCACGGTCCCCGAGCTGCTTTTGCTCTTGCACTAGAGCCGCCTGTCTTATCTCTGCTGGTATCCAAGGGCCTCCAGTGCACGGGTCTCCGCCTCACTGCGGTCCGCCCTGCGCCCAGGGTGGCTGAGCCAGAAAAGATTTAAGTGTTTTGGAAGAGGAAGAGAAAGGCTGACATCGTCTATTTGTCCAAAGCAGGAAGGCGGGAAAGCAGGCCAAAAAACCGGGAAGCTGCAAGGAGGAAGTGGGAGAAGAGTGAGTGTGACCTGGGCGGCGTGAACGGCGTGGGCAGCCTGAGCCCACAGAGCCACGGATCCGGATAAAAGAGCGCAATGCACAGGGTCACACAGTGCTCACAGTGACCCAGGAGCCACATGTCTGGACGTTCTTCTCCTTTTGCATTAAGACTTTCTATCAGGATGTTCTCAGGAGAGGATCACAAGGGCACAAGTGCATTTGATCACATAAAATGATGCTTGTCTAAATGAACAAGAAATGGAAACGAGGTGGTTTTTTTTATTAATTACGGCTCATTCCCCCCCTTTGGTTTATTCCATTTTGTCACTGTTTTTGATTTCCATACCCTTTGTCTTGTTTACATCGATCTGACCTAGGGAACAGGAGGGGAGCACAGAAACAGTGCATGAAGGACGGAGCAATTCTGCGGTGGCGCGCACTAGACGCTGTTGGAAATGAACTATACAACCTGCAGGGAGGGAGGTCGGGAGCGGAAAAACTGGGAGAAAATGAGGGAGGGGGTGGCAATTCTCAAAAAGAAATGGACTCCATGCCTGACTTATGTAACTGTGATCCCTCCATCCATCACCTTTATAATAAAATCCAAAACTGCTTCCTACCCTTTCCAGTAAGGCCCAAATGATATCTTCCTAAGATTCAGGATGAGAATTCTTATGCTAGAAATAGTTTGTGAATAAATAATGTACACCACAGTTATCATAAAGAATAAGACAATGTCTCGAAGTCCTGCTTCATCACCAAAGAGCCTGAGCAGACATATCTATCTAGAAGAAAAAGCAGCCAGAGGCAACACATACCTGATTTCAAGACACACCTTTCATCCATAGCAACAGAAGCAAGATGGCGGTGCAGGAAAACAGATCTGCAGACCCTGGAGGCACCTGCACAGGACATCCTGCTTTCTCTAGGGAAAACTGCCCCAACCAGCGCCGTGAAAGGGAATCTCCATGCACAGAGCTGGGGAGTCCCAGGCGCTCAGTACGCAGTGCGGGGGAGAACAAGTATACTCATGAGGATGGCGAGCGAGGAACACTGTGCTCGGACACCGGCGCCCACGTGCGGGCTGGAGGGAAGATGCTGCCCTCATGTGGAAGGCTGACCCTGGACCTGGCCTCGTGCACAAAACCATGCCAAGAAACAGATCAAAGACCTACAGGCAGGCCTGCGAGACACAGAGTCACGCTCTCTTGGGCGATGACTTTATTGACAGAGGTAAAGTTGACATTTTAGATATGATCTCAGAATCATAGAAAACCAAAGCAAAAATTGACAGACAAGATCACACCAAACCCAAAACTCCTTGCTGCAAGGGAAAACGAATAGAATGAAGAGACACTACAGAGTGGGAGGAAATACCTGCCACTGTCCACCCACAAAAGAGTTAATATCTTGGGGGAACTCAGAAGTCTCAATAAACCAGCCAATAATAGAATAGGCAACTGATCTGAATAGATTTCTCAAAAGCACAAATGCATATATTCAACAAATACAAAAAAAAAGCTCAGTATCACGAGTCATCATGAAGTGCAAATGAAAGCTGTAACAAGATAGCAACTGAGCAGCTAAAACGGCCATTATCCAAATGAAAACCAGAACAAACACTGATGAGGACGGGGAAATGCTAATGGGTACAGCTATGGTAGAGGAAATGGGGATTGCCTTAAAAACAGAACTGGCATCTGATCTAGTTACCGGCCTCTGGGAAGGCAGGAGGGCCTGGCATCGGTGGATACAACAGGCCCTTGCCAGCTCTGCTTCCTGTGACGCTGCTCAAAGTCCCGCTACGTGGCCAGCCTCGGTGCTTCTCAACAAAGAAAATGCGGTGCACAGTGCACGGTGCACCGTGGGATATCGTTCGGCCATAAAGATGAATGAAATCCTGGGGTGTGTAGCATATTGGATGGAGCCCAAGGCACATTTAAATAAGGCAACACAAACACAAGTACTGTAAACTCTCATTTATGAAAAGCTAAAAAAAAATACAGGGCTGGGAAGGTGGCTCAGTGGTAGAGCGCTTGCCTTGCATGCCTGAGGCCCTGGGTTTGATTCCTCAGCACCACATAAGCAAAAGAAAAAAGCCAGAAGTGGCACTGTGGCTCAAGTGGTAGAGCGCTAGCCTTGAGCTGAAGAGCTGAGGGACAGTGCCCAGGCCCAGAGTTCAGGCCCCACGACTGACAAAAATAAGTTGATGTGAATATAGAACAGAGTGCTGCTAGAGGCTGGCAGGACCGGGGCTGTCTGCGCGCGCTGTGTGAACGCACTGAATGCCACAGAACCCCAGCAAGACGAGCACGCACCAACAAAACAGAAACTAAGACAAAACTCTGCTTCTTGCTAGAAGTGGATAGGAAGTTTGTGTTGGGAGTAGTTGTGAAAATAGTGATTTTTTAAATCCAATAACTCCCCAGATTTTCAGAGAGAGAGAGTTGTTTCTTACTGTGTTATCTTTTAGTAGTGTATTCTATCTGGAGATCTTGAACAGTGAAATCGCCAATAACTGCAAAGAAAAGTGACCGGGCGGCGTTTTCAGGGAATTTTTAAGTATTTATTCCCACCGCGCTGGTGCATCATTAACGAGCCCTCGGCTGGCCGCCCCGTCGGACACCGCGGCCCAGGCAGGCGCGGCAGCGATCCCAGCGGTGACATCTGCCGCGGCCGGTGCGGGGTGCGGGGCCTGGCAGGGTGGTGGGGCCTGGCTAAGGCAGGGGCGCGGTGGGCACGGGGCGCGGTGGGCGCGGGGCGCAGGGGCGCGGCTGCGGCAGGGGCGCGGGGCCTGGCTGCGGCCGGGGCGCGGTGGGCGCGGGGCCTGGCTGCGGCCGGGGCGCGGTGGGCGCGGTGGGCACGGGGCGCAGGGGCGTGGCTGCAGCAGGGGCACGGGGCCTGGGTGCGGCCGGGGCGCGGTGGGCACGGGGCGCAGGGGCGCGGTGGGCACGGGGCGCAGGGGCGTGGTGGGCACGGGGCGCAGGGGCGCGGCTGCGGCCGGGGCGCGGTGGGCGCGGGGCCTGGCTGCGGCCGGGGCGCGGTGGGCACGGGGCGCAGGGGCGCGGGGCGCAGGGGCGTGGCTGCAGCAGGGGCACGGGGCCTGGCTGCGGCCGGGGCGCGGTGGGCACGGGGCGCAGGGGCGCGGGGCGCAGGGGCGTGGCTGCGGCAGGGGCGCGGGGCCTGGCTGCGGCCGGGGCGCGGTGGGCGCGGTGGGCACGGGGCGCAGGGGCGCAGGGGCGCGGGGCGCAGGGGCGCGGCTGCGGCAGGGGCGCGGGGCCTGGCTGCGGCCGGGGCGCGGTGGGCGCGGTGGGCACGGGGCGCAGGGGCGCGGTGGGCACAGGGCGCAGGGGCGCGGTGGGCACAGGGCGCAGGGGCGTGGTGGGCGCGGGGCGCAGGGGCGTGGTGGGCACGGCGGGCGCGGGGCGCAGAACCTGGCTGTGGCAGGGGTGTGGGGCGCGGGGGTGTGGTGGGCGCGGGGCCTGGCTGCGGCCGGGGCGCGGCGGGCGCGGGGCGCGGCGGGCGCGGGGCACGGGGCACAGCGGGCACGGCGGGCGCGGGGCACAGCGGGCACGGCGGGCGCAGGGCACGGCGGGCGCGGGGCGCGGCCCTCCGCCGTCCCTCACGAGGTTCTGATGTTGGCGTCACACTCTTCCAGGAGCAGGATCAAGTCTTGGATCAGGCTGTGCTCTCGGCCGTGGGTCACGCGCATGATGTCGAAGGCCTAAGGGCAAGGAGGGGAGAGGTCAGAGCCGGGCGAGAGCGGCAGGTTCTGGTCGCTCCACGGACCGGGTGGGCGCGGGGGCGCCGGCGGTTCGCAGCGCAGCGATCCACCGCCAGGACGGCTTCAGCACCGCGTGCAGCGGCACCGCGGTGGGAACCGGGCCCGGGCGGTGACATCGCAGCCTGTGCTCCGGAGACCCCTGGAAGCCTCCGCAAGGCACCTGTGGGGGACCAAGCTCCTGGGGGGCAGCTGGGCCTCGCGTGCCCACCCCCGACGCCCCGCAGCCTGCGTGGGAGAGCCAGGCCTGGCCGGGGAGCGAGGCCGACACCAACAGCAGCTGAGCACGTCCGCGCCGCACGCTCCCCCGCTGTGTCCAACCCGGCACGCGCAGCTCGCAGAGGAAACCACCCCCGGGCGCGCGGGCGCTTCCCGCGTTGGTGGTGACGTGATACGATCGCCCTGACTTTGCTGAGTATTGACTTGGGGGCAGCGCAGCGCCGGAGCCCTCGGCTGGTCTGCGTGCACCGCGCCCGCCCGGCTGTGCGGCCTCCAGCGCTGACGGGAGCCCGGGCCTCCAGCCGAGCGGCCTCCAGCGCTGACCCGGAGCCTGGGCCTCCAGCCGAGCGGCCTCCAGCGCTGACGGGAGCCCGGGCCTCCAGCCGAGCGGCCTCCAGCGCTGACGGGAGCCCAGGCCTCCAGCCGAGGGGCCTCCAGCGCTGACGGGAGCCCAGGCCTCCAGCCGAGGGGCCTCCAGCGCTGACCCGGAGTCCGGGCCTCCAGACTGTGGCGAGAGCTCTGGGGCCCCGGCTCGGCCCAGCCAGCGCGGCTGGGAAGCGCTGCTGATGCGGAGCGGCGGGCGGCCCTCGCGGCGGGCCAGAGGCGGCGGCGCCGACGTGGGACTAACGCAGAGGCTGAAGGAAGAGGACATCACCCGGCTAGACAGCAAACCGATGGGACATCAAAATGACCGATGGACAGATAGGAAGATTTCCTGAGCGACAGACAGATGGAGGAGAACAGAGGAAAAGACTAGCAGTCTGATTCCTGTGCGCGCGGGCGCGCAGCCTGGCTGCGGGGGGCGGCGGGCCTCGTCCCGGGCTGGAGGACGCTGTCTGCGGGGGGCGGCGGGCCTCGTCCCGGGCGCGCAGCCTGGCTGCGGGGGGCGGCTGGCCGTGTCCCGGGCTGGAGGACGCTGGCTGCGGGGGGGCGGCGGGCCACGTCCCGGGCGCAGCGCTGGCTGCGGGGGGCGGCTGGCCGTGTCCCGGGCTGGAGGACGCTGGCTGCGGGGGGCGGCGGGCCGCATCCGGGGTGTCCCGGGCGCGCAGCGCTGGCTGCGGGGGGCGGCGGGCCGCGTCCCGGGCTGGAGGACGCTGGCTGCGGGGGGCGGCGGGCCACGTCCCGGGCGCAGCGCTGGCTGCGGGGGGGCGGCGGGCCGCATCCGGGGTGTCCCCGGCGCGCAGCGCTGGCTGCGGGGGGCGGCTGGCCGTGTCCCGGGCTGGAGGACGCTGGCTGCGGGGGGCGGCGGGCCGCATCCGGGGTGTCCCGGGCGCGCAGCGCTGGCTGCGGGGGGCGGCGGGCCGCGTCCCGGGCTGGAGGACGCTGGCTGCGGGGGGCGGCGGGCCACGTCCCGGGCGCGCAGCCTGGCTGCGGGGGGCGGCGGGCCGCATCCCGGGCGGAAGGACTCGGGGGCGCAGCGCCCCGGGCGGGGAGCTTGTCGAGGCCCCGGCCCGGAGCGGCGGCTCCCGGGCGCCACCGCAGAGGACAATTCTGGCTCATCTCCTCCCGCAGCCGAGCTGACTCGGAAATGGCAAGCGGAGCTGGCGCGGGGAGGCACCGCGGCCCGTCCGGCGGCTCACCACCCACAACGCACGGTCCCGACCGACTCCAACCTCGCCGCTGCTTTACAAAGAAAGCAATTTTAGAACTGGCAACAGATTACACAGAACGAATAACGCAGACAACGGAAACCATGTCCCGCTCACACTGATTTCTGACGCAAGCATATGACTCATCGCACTCTCCTACACTTTCCGCTGCGCAGGAATCCCGAGCCTGGGCCAGGGCGCGGGCAGCGGCCGGCGAGGAGCGGCCTGAGCTTTCCCAGGCCGCGGCCTCAGCAGGACGTGCAAACAGGTGTGCAAGAAGCAAGGGCCACCCAGACCCCGGGCCTCTGGCACTTCGAACACCAGCTCCCCAAGCACAGTGCGGGGTCCCTGGGAGGAACAAGACCTGGCCTTGGCTTTAGGGGCGCTCTGGCCTGGCAGAGTCAGGGTGTAACTAGTTTGTCATCACCATAGCCAAACTGTATTAAATAGAGGTATGACACATGGAGGGAGGGCCCGGGGCCCTGTCCCAAATAATAATGATAATAATAGTAATGGTGGTGGCTGATGAGGACGCTGTATAACCTCGGGAAGGGTCACAGGCAGGCGGCCATGCTCCAGGGCAGACCTGCCATCGCTGATGGTCCGGCGGCTGCTCGTGAAGCCCCGTCTCCTCCCCCAGCCTCGGGTCTCCACCGAATGAGGACAAGAAATTCCACCACAGACGCCCCAGACCCAGACAGGACTTGCACTTGACGCTGTTTCCCACTGCAGTTACTGACTTCTAACTGAATTCTCTGGCTGTGGTCGGAGACTTTACTTGGCATGATTTTACACGAATGAATCTTCCACATTTATTGGAATTTGTTTTATGGCCCAGAATGCGGCCTACTCTGTATGTGCTCAGTAGATCCTTAGGAAGAACGTGTATTTTGCTGTGGTGTGAAGTGTTTATAAATGCTGATTAGACTCCACTGCTGGTGGTGTTACTGAATTTTCACACATCCTGCTGGTTTTCCGTTGAGTTCTTCTATTTATGGTAGCTAAAGGGCTTTGGTGCCTCTAGCTATACTCGTGGTTTTGTTTACTTTCTCCTTTCCATTCTACCTGGTTTTGTTTGTAGCACTGGGGTTTGAATTCTGGGCCTTATGCTTGCTAGGCTGTTGCTCTGCGGCTGAGCCACACTTCCTGCCCTGTTTTTCAAGGGACGCCTTTAGGAGCGGCTCTGCCCAGGTGTGTGCTGACCTTTGCTCAGCCTACTTCAGGCTTCTCAAGAGTTGCTGGAATAACGGGCCTTTGCTACCAGCTTCTCTTCTATGAGATGAAGTCTAGTGGATTTTGTGCCTGGTCTAGCCTCAAATCCTCTTTCTAGCTCAGCCTCCCAAGAACCTAGGACTGACTACAGGCGTGAGCCGCAGGTACCATTTGGTTTCTGAGATATGGTCTCACTTTGTTACTCAGGCTGGTCCTTTCAACAACGTGTTAGAGGTTTTATTTAAACATTTATTCCATCTCTTTAATTCTTAGTATTTTATTGTTTGATACTATTATCAATAGAATAATTTCCTTAATTTCATTTTGAATTGTCTATTGCTAATATATAAAAACACAACTGACTGATAATGTTGATTTTGTATTCTAGTTTGTGGATTCATTTCTTAGTTCTAACAGTGTATGTGTGTGTTTGTGTTTTCTCTATATACAGCACCAGGTCGTCTGTGATGAGATGATTTTACTTCCTCTTCTCAGATTTGATGCTTCCAACATTGTTTTTCTCAGACCTTTCCCACCCACCTGCTTCTCTTCTTCTGGGACAATAATCTTAGATCGATTGTCACTGATGTACAGATTCTGGAGGCTCTTTCTAATTGTACTCTTCTCAGTTCTTTTCCCCTTGTTTTTCAGGTCAAGTGCTTTCTGGTCACCAGTTTGCTCCTTGGTAGTCTCTGTTCTGTTGCTGACTCTACTCTAGTTACTATGTCTCCTGGATCTTAGATTCCTGTTTGCTTCTTTGTATCTTCTATTCCTTCCCTTCCTTCCTTTCTGTGCCGGCCTTGGTGCATGAGTTCAGGGCTTGGGTGCTGTCCCTGAACTTTTTTGCTCAAGCCTAGTGCTCTACTATTTGAGCCACACTTCCACTTCCATCTTTTTGGTGGTTAATTGGAGATAAGAGTCTCATGGACTTTCCTGCCCAGTCTAGCTTTGAACCTTGGTCCTCAGATCTCAGCCTCTAGTTAGGATTATAGGTGTGAGCCACTGGAATCCAGCTATTTTCTATTTTTTTTTACCGTGATTTTCTGATTTTTCATTTGCTTGGAAGGTATTTGTAATCGTCTACTTAAGCATTTTATAATAGCTATTTTAAATTGTTGTCAGACAACTCTGGTACCTCTGTTATCCAGTGATTGCTTTTTTTTTCACGATTGGGATATTCTTGGCTCTTTGTGTGATCTTTTTCACTTGAGACACAGTCACTTTGTGCATTTCTGAGCTGCTGAGTTTCGCCCGAGCCTTGTGTGAGCTGTCCAGCAGAATGGGAAGCAGCACCTGCCCAGTGTCAGACCCCCGACTCCTTCTTGCTACTTCCTAGCAGGGAAACTCTGCTTCATGTTCTTTATGAACACTTAATCACTACGCCTGGAGTCTGTCCACGTTTTCTTCCTTACAGTGTCTCTTTTGGGTGTTGTTATTGTTCAAAACCCAATCCTACACTATTACTTCTTATGTGAAGGTGAGTGAGGCAGCATTCGTAATAGCACCCTCTCTCTGTTCCTTCCTCCTGCTCACGTATGACTGGGACGCTGCACGTTTCCAGGGCCAAGAACAACCCTGAAGCTCCTTCACCGCCAGCTCTGCAAGCCAGTGTGCACGTGTCTATTTCCTGTGCGTGTTGAGAGCTCGCATCAGACTCCTAAATGAGAACATGACCGAGGGTCAGGAATCCCTAGAGCAAACCAAGAGATGGGAAAAACAGCACCGACGCTTTAATCAGCTACTGTGAGGGCGGGAGCGGGAGCAGGCTGGGGCAGGGACCTGTCTGGCCGTGCTTGCACCCGGCTGGCTGGATGTGAGGGAGCAGCTGAAAACCACACATCACAAAAGGATCGGCTTGAATTCCTATTCCCACCCGGGAAAAGACAAAGCCTCACCATGGAAGAGGCCGGATTAAACAAAGTACAGCGCAAGGAGTTTGAATCTCCAGCCTAAAGAGCCAGCCTCTGAGCAGAAAGACAGTTGATTTGCAACCCAGCTTCTATAACCAAGGCCAGCCCAGCACTAGCCAGGGCGGGGTCGGGCTGGGCCCTGGGAGCCTGCAGTAGGAAGGGCTTCTCGAGGTGGAAATGAGAGCGGCTCCGAGCTGGCCACATGGCTTCTTCTTCTGCAAGAGCCTGGGTCCTGACGGTACCTGCGACATCTGTTTCTGAAGCTTCTCAGTTTCTGCTCCTCGCCAGGCTCTGGAAACCTTCGCGCCATTTTATTCCATTATCTCCAGGGTCTCCATCATTTCATTTCCAGCCGCCCAGTCCCTCAGCCTGGCGTTTGCAGGAGCGGCCGCCGCCTCGGACCGCCGGCTGGGCGGACGCTGCTCTGCAGCCGGTTCTCAGCCAGGGCAGCACAGGCGAGGGCCGCCAGGCTTCTGAGGCCCCGTGCAGCCCCGAGAGCCTTCAGGAAACCCATCCCCGAAGCAGGAACCTGGCAGGATTGTGCCCGGGCATGTGCCTCTGTTTGACGCCCCAGGAGATACCCACGCCCAGTGGACACACACCTACACCAGCAGCGCTGCCCACAGGACCCTCGCCCTGTGAGGGGGATGGTCAGAACCAGCCGCCGGTTACACACTCCTTTCAGCTGGAAGCATGCCGTGCGCCCGGCCTCGCCGCCCACAACGCCAGAGAGCAGGCAGTGGCCTCCTCCTAAAAGCAGAATCACGCGCGCGGAGACCGCCCTGTACGCGGCCAGCTGGACCCGAGCGCCTGGCGCCAGCCTCGTGGCCTCGTGCCGCACCCCGGTGTCCTGGCCGGACACGTGGGTCTGGGGTGGCGGAGGCCGGGGAGGCTGCGGTTGGAGCTCAGGCCTCAGGACCGCAAGCTCTGCCCCACCCCACCCTCCATCTGGCAGCCGTGAGGCTCCATGCCTGGGCTTCTTTGGGGGAAATGCCCCGATGATTGCCGAGGGAAGTTTCTGGAAGAGGCGAGGCTGGCTTAGAGGAGGGGAGATGAGGTCCCAGGGTGTCAGGGCCCTGGGAGCATCGGGGGGCTTGCGGGCGTCTGCACCCAGCCCTGCTCCATCACCCAAGCGGGCATGAGGCCTGGTCTGGGCCTGGCCCGACTTCGTGGCTGGCCCTCACGTGGAGAGGGGATCCCCATACACACCCAGCTCTCCCGTGTGGACTTGGGGGGGTAGGGGCTTGAAGGCTCCCTGCCTACCGAGTGCACTGCAAAACCGCCTCTGCCGAAGCGAGGGGAGAGGACCGTGTGGGGGGGAGGAGGGGGAGGACCGCACGGAAGGGGGAGGACCGCGGGGGGGGGCCGTGTCTGGGTCCTATTCAAAGCACAGGGCGCGTAGCTGGCCGTGCTGATCGGGTGGATCCGCTCTGCCCGTTCGTCTCCTCGCTGCAGCGCCTTCGTTTTGCACACAGGAGAAGGCGCGTGAGCCCTCTCGGCGGATGCGAGCAAGCCGTGCGCGTGAGGAGCCCGCCACACAGCCTGTCGATTCACCTGGAGACTTCTGGAAGGCGTGCTGGCCCCGACCTGGCGGGCGGCCTGGGGAAGCTGCCCCTACATCACGCGCTGTCTGCGGGCTGCAAACCCCAGACCGACCAGGTGAGGAACACCCCACAGCGAGGAACGCCCCGGACAGACCAGGCGAGGAACACCCCACAGCGAGGAACGCCCCGGACAGACCAGGCGAGGAACACCCCACAGCGAGGAACGCCCCGGACAGACCAGGCGAGGAACACCCCACAGCGAGGAACGCCCCACAGCGAGGAACGCCCCAGACTGACCAGGCGAGGAACGCCCCACAGCGAGGAACGCCCCAGACTGACCAGGTGAGGGACGCCCCACAGCGAGGAACGCCCCGGACAGACCAGGCGAGGAACGCCCCAGACTGACCAGGCGAGGGACGCCCCACAGCGAGGAACGCCCCAGACTGACCAGGTGAGGGACACCCCACAGCAAGGAACGCCCCAGACTGACCAGGTGAGGGACACCCCACAGCGAGGAACGCCCCAGACAGACCAGGCGAGGAACGCCCCAGACAGACCAGGCGAGGAACGCCCCGGACAGACCAGGCGAGGAACACCCCAGACCGACCAGGTGAGGAACACCCCACAGCGAGGAACGCCCGGGACAGACCAGGCGAGGAACGCCCCGGACAGACCAGGCGAGGGGAGGGACGCCCCACAGCGAGGAACGCCCGCACCTCCCGGTCTGCTAAAGGTGTCAGGGGAACGAGAATGGAAAGGGTGAGAACCTTCCAGAAACCCTAGAGTTCCTCCTGTTGCCTGAGAGCTGTCGGCAGCGGCCAGGAGCGGCCTTGAGCGCGGCCGGAGCATCGAGGAAGCTGATTTTTAAGGCTCCCTTAGGTATTCGCTGGTTTTCTCCTCTTAAAACGCTCAAGCGGCCGGCTGCGCCCTCCCCTCCGGGCACAGCCCCCTGCAGACGGGCCATGGCGCCGGGTGCACCTGCGGGGCCCACCCCGCGGGGGCCAGCCGAGCTGGGGGGGGAGGCGGCGCTGTGCGGGAAGAAGGCCGGGGAGGCGGCGCTGTGCGAGGGGGGGGGAGGCCCGGGGGGGAGGGGAAGGCCGGGGGGGGGAGGGGAAGGCAGGGGGGGGCGCTGTGCGGGGGGGGGGAGGGGGGGAAGGCGGGGGGGGGGCGCTGTGCGGGGGGGAGGGGGGGAAGGCGGGGGGGGGGAGGGGGGAAGGCCGGGGGGAGGGCGCTGTGCGGGGGGGAGGAGGGAAGGCGGGGGGGGGGGGCGCTGTGCGGGGGGAGGGGGGGAAGGCCAGGGGGGGGGGTGCTGTGCGGGGGGGGGGAAAGGCCCGGGGGGGGCGCTGTGCGGGGGGGGGGGAGGGGGGGAAGGCCGGGGGGGGGCGCTGTGCGGGGGGAGGGGGGGAAGGCCGGGGGGGGCGCTGTGCGGGGGGAGGGGGGGAAGGCCGGGGGGGGGCGCTGTGGGGGGGGGAAAGGCCCGGGGGGGGCGCTGTGCGGGGGGGGGGGAGGGGGGGCAGGCTGGGGGGGGTGCGGGGGGGGGTGCTGTGCGGGGGGGGGGTGCGCTGTGCAGGGGGGAAGGCCCCTTCCAGCAAAGGAGACGCCCTGCGAGTATGAGCTGAGCCCCTGGTCAGCAAGGAGCTCATCCCAACGCCAGCCAGCCCCCCCAATCTTCCCCAGCCACGCGCTTCCGGTGTGTAAATGTGCCTCAGTCCCGCTCACAGCCCCGAGCTGGTCACAAAGACAGCCGCAGGGGCCGCGGGCTGCTGCGGGGCGGGGCTCCGAGCCACGCTTCCGCCGAGCGGGACGCGCTCTGCGGGGAGAGCCCGGTGGAGGAGCCGGGGCTGGTGGCGCCGGACAACGGGCCTGGCCAGGGGCCGGAGGCCGTCCCCGGGTGGGCGAGGGCGGGAGAGAGCTTTGCCAAGGCCTAGGGTTCGCAGTCCAGGTGGGCGACAAGGGATCCTTCACAGCGGACCTGTGCACCTTGGGCGCGTGTGCACACCACGGGGCACGCGGGCACCACCGGACTGAGGCGCAGCGCCAGCCGGGCGCAGCCGGTGCCCCCCCCCCCCGCCACTCACCAGCCGCAGGTTCTTCATGGCCTGGGGGAACATGGCTTGGTGCAGCTGCAGCTTCCCCACCTTCATCACCTGCACGCCTCGGACCGGATGGCTGCCCGGGAAAAAAACCCTGCAGGAGACAAGGCGGACGGGGTCAGGAGCTCTGGCCGCAGCCGGCTGCTGGAGGGAGCTCAGCTCTGCGGCCAGGACGCGGCAGCCAAGCGCCGCTGCCGTCCAGAGACGCCGGCGACAGGGCCCGAAGACGACGGGAAGGTCTCCTGACCACGCGAGGAGAGCCGCCACCGAGGTCCCGCGCGGGGCAGCGGGGCTGCGCTGCACTGTGGGGCAGCAGCCTGCCCGCCCTCTCCCGGGAGCCGCGCTGCACTGTGGGGCAGCAGCCTGCCCGCCCTCTCCCGGGAGCCGCGCTGCACTGTGGGGCAGCAGCCTGCCCGCCCTCTCCCGGGAGCGCAGCCGCGCACAGCCCGCGTTTCTGGGTGGATGGAGTTTCTTTGGTTCTCCCGAGGAGATTCTTTCTGCTTTTCCTGTAGCCTCCAAGCCCTGGTTGACCGCGCCGCGGGCTCCCCCGCCGCGTCGTCGTCTTGGCGCGGTTTGTTGGGTCAGGCCGCCGCCGGCGCCATCCGCCGCAGGAGCAGCGCAGCGCTTGCAGCAGGGCAGAACAAGGGCCTCGTGAGAAGGACGCTCACTCAGTCCAGACTCACAAGAACCTTCTAGGTGGGATTCAGGGGCTGGGCCTCTCCGGCCCGGCCCAGGCTCAAAGGCCTCTCTGGGTTTTTCTGTCTGGCACGGGGCACCATGAGGCCCCGCACGGGGTCTGGGCGGGAGGCGGTGCCCAGCCGGTGGGCCGTAGCACGTCCTGGACGCTCTATGAGTGTGCTGCCCGGGACCGACAAGCTACTTGTAGTTTATGAGGCCAGCGGTGACTGAGCTGGGCTGGACCGAGGAAGGCTTCCTGGAAGAGGAAGGAGCAATGAACGGGCTCCCAGCTGGAAGGGCTGGGTGGAGGAAGCGGCCCCAGACCTCGGGGGATCCGGCAGGGACACAGCGTCCCCACCCACCGGAGGCCCCGCAGTTCCCAGCCCCAGAGCCAGCGATCTGCGTAACAGACACCGTCCTCCATTCCTCCATTCCTGCTGAAGAAGGCCGAGAGCAGGGCTGGGGGGGGGGGGGGGGCGGGAGAAACACAGGGGCCACCTGGGCCCGGCTCGGGCTCCTGAGGGCCGCGAGGGCAGCGGCCCGCCGGGCACAGAGGGAACACCGCGGTCACTTGCGCGGAAAGGCCTCAGACCCCTGACAAAGGCTTAGGCGCAGGACACCATCAGCCGAGCGCAGCTGCCCGCGCGGCCTCTGAAAAGTGCACCTGGCGGAATTCGATTTTACTGCTGTGAATGTGGCACAATGAAACTTAGAGGCAAAGAAGTAATTTTATACTAATAATCTCTCCGTGAAGTGGGCAGCTGTCATGTCAGAGCAGAAGGAAGGCTTGGGTTCTGAGTAACCAGGCCGTGCCAGGTACGGGGAGATTAACTCCCCCCCTGGCTCAGGCTCGATGGGAGGGGAGGGCCACTGCGCAGGGCTTCGCCCAGTGGTGGGTGCTGAGTGCGCCGCCTCCTGGAGGCCCCCAGTGGACTTACGGGATCAGATGAGCCCTGGGCCGGCCCTGGGCCCTGCAGCCCGGCAGGCACCGGTGCCCTTCTGATATGCAGAGGAGGGGGAGGGAAGAGGCCCTGGGGGGGGTCATCCTGTGCAGGACTGTCTGAAATGGAGGGTGGCCCAGGACTGAGGAGGAGGGCTCGGATGTCCCCGAGGGCTGAGAGGCGTCTGCTGAGTGGGGGGGGGGAGGAAGGGGGGTCGCAGGTGGGGCTCAGGCTGGGGCCTGTGGGAGCCATCCCTGAGGGAGCCCAGACCGCAAAGAGCCTGGGGAACAGCACGTAAGTTACAGATATGAGAAGACTGGGGAGACCCCAGCACAGGGAGCAGCCAGACCATGGGGGGGGAGCCCCAGGCGCGACGTGGGGAGCCCCGGCGTGTGAAGGCATGCGCGCGCCACACGCGAGGCTGCCCTCCCCCCTGCACACAGAAGCGCGATTGGAGGGGGGCTGGCTGAGAGTATTTCATTGGACAAGAAACAAGCCAGAAAAGAGACCCAGAGGCAGAGACTCGCGTGAGGATGGTGGCAATGAGAATGCCACCAATACAACTATGGCTGCGGAGCTGACTCCAGCCAGCGCCCTGCAGAGACACCAGCAAAACCACTGTACGGAAGCCATTTGCCCGGTCGTCTCTCCGGTCAGGATGCCGGTGTAGCTGGGAGGCTGTCTTTGTGCAGAGAGGTGTGTGTGTGGGGGGGGTGGGGGTCTGGCAGGCAGGAGGAAGCGCTCTGGGGCCTGCGTTCGGACCCACGAGCACCAAGGTCTTGCTGTCACATTTCACCAGGGGACTGGGACTCAGGGAAACTGGTCTGTCCCCAGTGGGAAGGACACAGAAAAGATACTGGTGGCAGGACCTCCGTAAGTCCTACAGAGCGTTTCTGACAAGGTGCTTCATTAGAGATAGCACCTTTGCCATTTGCCGGCAGGAAAAAGCATTCAGGTCTGTTTCTCAAAGTCAGACACAAAGCACACAACTAACCTAAAAGAGCTCACCTTGTCTGCTTACACTGTGCTTAGAGAAACCAGTCAGCTCCAGCTGTATGGATTTCAGTGGAGAAATGTGGAATGCTGATGCAAACAGAAAAACCGCTGCATCGCTAATGAAACCATTAGCGCAATGCACAGTGGACAATACACAGCAGTGGGGTTGGGGTGCTGCAGTCTGAACCCACCAGTCAGTCTCCCCCACTAACGTGAGCACAGACACGAGGTGCTGGCAGGTGTGCAGCAGCATCACCTGTACAACATTCTTACCAACCCAAACTGAACTGAGCCCAACTCAAACAAACCCAACAGACCCAAACCCAACAGACCCAAACCCAACTCAACCAAACGGAACAGACCCAAACCCAACAGAACCAAAGCCACAAGCCACACTGAATCTCACCAAGCCCACAGGATTAAATTCCATTTCATAGGAAGAGCAGACAGACAAGACTGGGAGGTAGGAAAATCTACAAGACCTTGACCCAGGGTCTTCACAGGTCAATGTGCGGGGGTCGGGGGGGGGGGGGGGGGGAAGACAGTAGATTAAAAGAGCCTAAAGACGTAACAGCCACTTTTGATATATGTAGATCTTCGCAGCCTCAAGTGAAAAGCTAAGGGATGGTGCTGGGCTCCAGTGCGCACACGTGCAGACAAAAGCTTCTCTTCTGTTAGTGATAAAGCAAGCATTGGCAGCCACAACCTCCGTGGAGGAACGAGTTGGGGAGGCCCGGGAGGAGGGAGTCTGGTCCCCGAGGACTGAGTCTTGCCCTGGCCACAGGGCTAACTATGAGCACCGCCCTTCCGCAGGAGGGAGGGGGCTGTGCCGGCCGCACCTGTGGTCGGGAAGGGACATTTGGGTGGATTCTTTGTTCATGGAAACCCCTGCGTTGGAGAAGCCCTGTGCCCGGCCCAGCTGCTGGAACTCCAGCAGCTAGGAACTCTGCTCTCCCTTGGCTTTTTTTTTTCTTGGCAGTACTGGAGTTTACACACGCTACAGAAGTGATCTACCACTTGAGCCACGCTCTCAGCCCTTCCTGCCTTCAATACTTTTCAAATATGGTCCTACCCCCCACCCCGCCATCATGGACTGCAGCTGCATGGCTCTTCTTGCATAGCTGGGACAAGAGGCACCTCCCGCTCTGCCCAGCTTTTCCTGTTGAGATGAGGTCTCTCCAAGTTTTGCCGCTCTGCCCAGCTTTTCCTGTTGAGATGAGGTCTCTCCAAGTTTTTGCCACTCTGTCCAGCTTTTCCTGTTGAGATGAGGTCTCTCCAAGTTTTGGCCAGGGCTAGCCTGGACCCAGATGACAGGCGTGAGCCGCGTGCCTGGCTCTCCTTTGAGACTGGCTTTGAAAGGCCAGATGTTTCCAGTGGACAGGCTGAGCAAGCAGCTCCTCTTAGAGAATATGATCTTGTTTATTTTTGCCCAGCTCTACTCTAACTCATACCAGAACCAATGACAAGTGTTTAAAAATCGCTAAACTTGAAAGATGTGCTTGAGCTTTTATACGTAAAAGAACTTTCAGGCCCAGTAATAATGTCAATAAACGGAGTCTCGGGTTTGACAAGGTGGATTATGACACACTTGCAAACCGTTTCCAGAAGATGGCTGGTACTGGCTCTGCTGGCGGTGGGGTGGGGGGGGGAAGGGGGGGGCTCGCAGTGCCCAGCCAGCGACCCAGACCTTAGCAGACATTTAGGACAGTGTATGGAAGCTGGAAGGAACGGCCCCTCCTCACCAGCGAAAGGCTGTGTTCTCCCTGCGAACCCCACCTCCTCATCTGGACAGCAGCGACAGGAAGACCTCAGAGCTCTGTGCAGATTAACCCCATCAACTCTACTATTTAGCTTAACACAAACAGAGAACCACAATTTTTTTTTAAGTTTCCGATTAAGCTGGGAAGTGATTACAGGCACTCAAGCTACCCAGGAGGCTGAGATCTGGAGGGCTGTGGTTCAAAGCCAGCCTAGGAATTAAAAGTCCCCGAGACATGTTTCCAAAATGCTTGGCAAAAAGCCAGGCTGGAGGCATAATACAAGTGGCAGAGCATGCAGACGCAACGTGGGGCAGAAAGAGCAGGAACAGCACGGCGTCTACTACCCCATGGCCTGGGCGGCTGCCATTCCTCTCACCCGGGAGGCGGGCGATTATGTGCTGAGTGCCTACTGTATACAGGGAACACAGCAGCTGGGAGGCAGCACCGAGCAAGGGTGTTTGGTGCCGCTCAGCTTCTTTGCTAGGCAGGAAAGGCCAAGGGAACAGCTACTCCTGTGTGCTGGGCTATGCTAGAAGGGTCCCAAGACCACTCCAAAGTAGAGGTTCAAGATCAAGGCCCGTGTGTGGTGCCAAAATCCCAACACAGGCATGAACAATGAAGACAGTAGCAGCTAGTAACTGCTGAGTACTTATTCCGCTAAGACTTACTCCATTTCACCCTTACCGCACCCTGTGAGGCTGGTGCTTTTAGCAAACACA